ATTCCAAATTTAACCATTAAAAGACATGTGAAAATAGTAAAATGAATCGAAATATCGTCACAATATTCGCTAGAATGTCGTATCCCATGGTTAGAGGATTTAGTCGGCCGCAAACTTAGACCACAATTACGTTAATCCCTTAATCGGTAGAGTTTTCAAAGATCGCAAAATAAGATTAATTCACATCATCTTTATTGATTTATAAAGTGAACGATTTTAGGTTTTAATAAGGTGACTTGGCGTGGAACGTGTTTTGGCGTCATTTTCATTTTTCTAGATATACGATACGTATTCTGTTAATTATAAATATTAATCAGCAATTATAATAATATTTTTGTTTATAAATCGACGGATGAATAAATGGTTTAAATGTTGTTGATAGAAATGCCAATGGCCAATAAACATATTAAGGTTCAAATTGGTATATGAACATATATTTCGTTCGTTATTATTTTAGATCTCTACCCACACAATCCAATCTCAATAATTATCAATATGTATAATTCGATATTAAACCATTTGTTTCACACCAAATACTGTGTAAACATGATGATTATGTATTAAATATTACAATTTCGATTAATGATAAATGTGGGTGTTATTTACAATTTGCTCTGTTGATTATTACGTATATTAAATTCTCATTATCAACACACGTGAATAACTAATTTGCATAATAAAATTAGGGTTGCCAAGTTGTAAAACAAAAAATCTGAAAGATCAATTCGGACTATTAGTTAAAAAATATAATATAATTATTCACATATCAAGATGCAATCATTTTTTAACGTAACTTCACCCACTTACACCAAACGTACATTAAAATTGTCATTAATTTAAAGAGACATTACCGGTACAGATTAAACATATTATTTAAGTCGCCATTAAACCTTAAAGATCGTTTGTACAACTGGATGCAAGGTTAAAAACTAGAATTTTTAAGTTTTTTTATTAATTAAAATCAAGTTTTATTATCATTCGCTTTGGCAAAATCTTAATTAAACATATTCATTAGCATTCGCAAAATAACAATTTAAAAAAACAATAGTGATGCGGGTGCAGAAATAATATTTGGAAAATGGAAAACAATAATAGTCAAACTGAAAAAGATTAACAAATGCCGGACTACGATATACATATCTAATTTTGTTCGCACTTGCAATCTAAAAGATTGGGGCTAATTGTATAAGATTAAAACTCTTTGGAAGCCGTTGAGGAATGTCAGACGAAAAAATAGTATCGTAAGTGCAGTTTTTTGACGGATTTAGGTAAAGTTATTGTTTTGTTTTTTTCTTGATAATTCAAATCATACTTCCTTCAAAAAGCTATTGCGACTTTAAAGGTGATATATTTCCTTATTCGTATCGCAGTAAAGGATTACGATAGATTTTAAAATCAGATAATTAGTCCACTTATCGGCTTTATCTAGACGCCTGGCAACACTAAGCAAACCAATAGAGAATATGACCCTTAAAATGTTGTACGTCATACCTCGAGTTGAAATAAAAACAAATGGAATGATAATTTTGTTTATATGTTAAACATTTTCTTAGAAGCGTGGAGTTAAAATTGTATTTTTATTCGGAATTTATAAACTAAAGGCAAATGTCGGTAACAGGTTAAAGTGGTGCAAAAAAAGTAAAATATTTTATTACAGGTTAATTAAATTGGTCGACGGCGATCGCAAACGGAGCGCGGGCTTATCTCATTGGCCGATAAAACAGTGACCAATGAAAGTGAGTCTCGAAACCGCCAGCACCCCGCGCATATACGTTATCGACCAGTGTAAATGAGTCATTATTTACCTTAAAGCTGCGATTATATTCACTCCGCGCTGTATCGCCAGATATAAATGTAGCTTCAGATGATTCGTTCAATACATTCGCAATATGCGCGGAATAAAATATATTTGCGTTTTAACTCCTAGAAGTGGGAGCATAGATAAATAAACGTAGGCTTTGTCAGCCATTTTGATTAATATGCCATTATAAAATCTTGTGGTTATTGAGATGTTCAATGGCGAAGTGAATAGTGTATTAGGCTAGAGAATGTGAAGATTACTTATCTTTTAAAAAGGCAAATTATAACATAGGGGACCAGAACTCTGTGTAAATGATTAAATATATAATAAAACGTCCTATATTGACAGTAAATTAGAGGAAACGTAACACTGATAATATAATTGAAATAGTTCAGTGGACTTTTATGTTACGGTATCGCAAGTGATTCGTTTATCTTCATCGCCAAGGTTCATAAATGTTGAGAAACAAAGATTTTTAAATAAGGAAGGTTTTGCAAGGGTGCTCGCTCAAGGTCGAGCGTCATGGTTGCCCACTTTCTCAATATACACAAACACCTACTTGTTACATGACACGATGCCAATATAAAATCGTAAAAAGTAATAGGGTGTAAATGAATAATATAAATTATTATTTATTTATTCCAAAACATAAATATACATAACCCAGAATTTTACTGAAATGTTAGTTTTACAACAACAAAATATAACGACTTTAGTGGTCGCCTTAAGTAAAAATCAGCAATTTGTAATTGTATTTGAATAAAGTCAAGGGATTATAACTTAAACTTATCATATGTGAGGTACACTTAACAGCATTCCCGGTTATACAAAATCGTCTAGTTTCTCCACTTGATTTCAAATCTTATTACATTCAGCGTAGAGGAAATGCTCTTATGATCGGATCTAATTTTCACCAACCACAAAGATCGGCACGGCCAAAGCGTTACCTACCCAGTCGAACCTCCCGCTGAATACCCTCACGGCGAAAATAGAGTCTCGGGTTCCATCCCCTTAAGAGCACGAGTCTCCGAGAACGCATCCCCAGGAGAGTTACTTTGCGTTCCCTAGCGAGTGGGTCTTTAAATGTCTTGACAAATCCTAATTGATCTACTGACAATAGACCTGTCAGCCTGACACATCAATCAGTGGTTCAGCTACTTTAGAAATATATAACTGAACATATGTGTGTTATTGATTGGTCTGTAAATAGGTCTCGTTTTCTTTTAATTTTGAGCATGACATACACATGCTAGCGCAAACACCGGCAAACATCTACAGACATAGTTTGTTCATCTCTTAGAAGTTCACGTCATACTCCTGGCATTGTACACGTGTCTGGCGCTTTCAATGATATAAACGAACCCTTAATAACCCTTTGTAAGGAACTTCACAAAATTTACTTTTAAATGAGCTTGTCCCGAAAGATGATGAAATTTAGCATTTCATTTGCAATGAAACCTGTTTATTTTCCTGTAAATTAAGACCTTGAAAGAGATCAGAACGAATGCAATTCACAATCTATACCAACACTAAGTTGTAAAGGCAGTGTAAAATATTGACAAATAGGTAATGCAATATATGTTTTATGTTTATACGCATTAAGTCATGATTCATTAGCTAACAGTTCTTTTATATTGTTGCCATTAATATTAACTTTAATATTTATGGGGTCCATTTAGATTGTAAAATTTTGAAATTTGTATTGATGTACAAACATAAAGCAATACAAGTTGTTGAAAATCTCTAAGCTAATTCTGAATAGGCTCTCGACAATATTAAGCAGAATAATTCGGTATTATTTTATTAAAGCTGCAGTGGATAGCTTAGTTTTCATTGTACCCAGGATCTAAGGAATCTAATTTGAATACCAAGACTGTGACCATTATAGGTACTTTTCCCTTTATTGTCAGTAATCAAATAAAGTATTTTCACTGTTTGAATATTAAACTTTTTACTCATGTGCTTCTGTGTTTGTAGTTTTGTACTGTCTTCATCGAGTAGTTAACCAGCTGTTTTTAAAAACTTTTGCATTTTGTGTTGTTTCAGAATAAAATAAGGTTGCCACCAGTGGTGTTTTGCGTAGGACATATCCTAATATTTATTAAGTAGTATTCTCGTAGCAAGGACGTCAAGGTTATGAATTTTAAAATTCACGGGTCACATTTTGCAAACCTCATAAGTTTAATTACACTCACGAGCTCGCAATGTTCTACAAAACTGATATTTTTGGTTTACTGTTCAAATTAACAAATAAACCGATCTCGCTCTTCTAATGTCTTATTTAAAATGAAATTTAAGGTTGGCAACCCTAAACATTAGTATCAGTGCCGGGGGTATCTTGCGAAATGAACTGTTGAGATGCAGGTAATTTTTTTGTTATAGAACGGCCGTCAAATTGACGATGCGATGTGGTGAATTTTAGAAACAACCTTCATAAATCTTTCGTCTGGTTGCCAGAGTATGTCTTATTTTAATTACAACTCTAACTTGAATGCATTAAAGTTTAAAATCAAAGAAATCTGAGTAACCTGTTGATGTTGGCTGTACCTACGTCGGTTTCATTCTGTCCTTTTCAGGGCCGGATTTAGAGAGGGGCAAAAGGGGGCACTTGCCCCAGACGCCAGTATTAGAGGGGTGGCAAAATTATCATAAAATAAAAATATTTAAAAGAAATAGTTTTACAAAAATAAAATAGTGAACGAAAAGGAATCGGAGTTGAGTTGAAACGTGTAGGTATTTAGAATGTTATATAAATAAATAATTTAATTCTAACCGAGATAAGAATGATATGAAACAGGTATGTTACATTAATATTACAATTTCAATTTATATTTATAATGCTTGGGAACCTGTGGCAGGTAAGTATAACAATAGATTTGTAACACTTAAGGGGGATTACAACTTTGTTTTTACAATTTGTTAGTACACAAGCAAAGTATTAATAAATTTAATTAAACAGTAACCGGGTGTTAGGTAGGTAAAGTTGTAATTTAAATTTAAATATTGTTTGTTTGTTTTTGTTTCCATTAAAAAGCAATTGTAAATATATTTACTTATAGGTAGGTACGGATCTAAGATATTTTTATCACACGTAATTTGATGTCTAATTAACCTTACTTCAGAATTCGAATTTAATTATTATTAAACTTATGTAGGTGTGATATTGACGTTTAAATAAATTTCAAAAAATAACACTTACCGGTAGTTAAAACTCCATCAACTATCAAAATAGAACTTTCCTAGAAACTTGGACAGTATGGGTAACATCCTTGCATTAGAATAACATCTATAATCCACAGAACAACGGACACACACCAAGAATACCGCGAAACAAGACAAAAACCTAACTTTACTTATAATTTATTTAATAATTATTTAAAGGCAAAGGATTCACTTATAAAGTTGATTTATAAAACAAACTGTCATTGCCAACTAGATTTACTCTTATCGTTATAAAAGACGCGGATTTAACTAAAATTGCTTACACACAACCTCTCAATGACCTACCAATTGAACGACTGAGTGAGCAGAGGTATTTGATTTAATAATTTCGCTTTGTAGTGGTGGGTGATAAATATGACACGTTCATTCGTTCATCATGAACAAGTTCAACTTCGTGAAATGTAAAAACATTCCTAAATGGCACTTCTTTTTCGTTGCAGTATATTGCCATCTATTTATTAACACTAAAACTTTACAGATTTTCATCTCTGCCAAAAAAGGTTCAACGACACTTATGTACTTTGGATAAACCAACTAATTACATAAGCGTGCAATAGATGTCGCCGTATAGCTTAAATAGATAATGTGGTGTTCGTATAGATGTCGCTACCGTTTCTGTATTATAAAATCTCCTTGTATGGAATATTTTTAATGTTAGTTTATTATTTGTTTGTTTTTGTTAGAAAATAATACTCGATATCTAATGTAGGTAAAGTGTATAAACGAAGAAAAAATATTCCTCTTTTGGAGCAACATACTTTATTTGATAATTTTTATATTAAATTCTAGATTGATATTTATCTTTTAAAAAAATACTTAATAAATTCAATAATCCCAGGTGCCCAATATGCGATCTTATCCCATGTCATCTTGGGTACTTAGGCCTAGTGTATTCTTTAAGTGTATTCTAATAAAATTTAAAGACTAATATTAAAAGAATATTACTGCTCAAAATATTTAATAATTTAAGTTACATATTTGGAGATCCATGAAAGCCAGGTTTTTTTTAACTTATACGATTTATTATAATCATTTAAATGTAAAGTGCAGCTGATCTTCCCTTATTGCTTATAGGTGTACCGCTGCTGGTTGCTGGGTTTCCACCGATTATTCTTATTCCAATATCATCATAAATTTCATAATCTTCGTCTTTTGCCACATCATTAGGGTTTGCTACAGAATTAAGAAGATCAATTACTGTACCCGGCAGAGAGAGTGACCCGACACGTAGATCAAATAGCGATTTGAGAGAGTCAAGTGGTTTTTTATGAAGTTTGCCGATTCGAGGAGAATTTTTCCTTTTGTTATTGTGTTGTCCTGTTTGGTACCAATAAATAGGATAATTACTGGGTATAGCAGCTGAACGCCTATTGTACGGATAAGAGAAGTATGGAGAAGAAAAATAGTATGGGGTATTATGAACATGTGGATTCGGTTGCCATCCCATGGGATAGATTGCCGGATTGCGATACATCCTCCTGTAAGGTGTGTGTGAATCGCAAGCTTTTTTCAATGGTACGACTCCCAATAATTTTGATGGAAAGGTTTGAGTTACTGCAATAATATCTACATTCTTTAAATTAGTAGGTAACAAAGATGAAATGCCTTTCAAATTAAGTAAATTTTTATACAGACTGGTGTCGCCTATAGATATAAGATGCAACTTCAAATTAGCAGCATTAATGGGTACACCGTTTTTGTTATACAGTATTCCGTCTATAATTTTAATTCGGTTATCTTGAAGGATCTCACGTATTTTTAATTTTAGATATTCCAGATCATAAATGCTGTCTAGCTGTTTATCATTGTTATTCAAGACGTATATTTGTTGGTTGAACCATTCGTTGAAATTTGTGTGTAATCCATATAAAGAGGCGATAGGATCAAAAATATTGTCAACATTCAATTCACTTTTCGAATAATCGTGATGATGCTCGAGATTTTTTTTATGGTTTATTCCATGAGTATGAGTGTCATGGCTATGATCACCCGTTATTACTTCCTCGCTTTCCCTTTCAGAATTTGTTGGATATTCTAATATCAGATTTTCAACTGGCAAAACTTTTATGCCTTTTTTGTTTAACGAAGACACGTTACAGTCCTTATTAAGAGGAGAACAGTTCTTTACAACGCCATCTGCATTTGGTAACATATACTCAGAAATATCACGTTCATTTGCTGACAAACTGTCACTCGTAACTCCTGGATCTAGCTTATCTTGACCGTGTTCGTGTTTGTGTGTATCTTCATTAAAAAAATCTTGATGATTGCCTCCAACTAAGTTGTAATCGTTATATTGTTGTACGTTTTCTATGTGTGGTTGTTCGTTAGTCATTTTCATGATATCCGTGTCAAAACCCATCGGTACCGAATCCACACCAGCATCAGTTTTTGTTTCTGAAAGTGAAGTTTCAGTATGATGATGATGTTTATGAGGTTTTAAAGGTATAAAATTACCGCTAGAATTCAAAGCTTCTTCTATTCTAGTCTCGAACATTATCATCATTAAGTCGCCATATTGTATCGATAGATCAGGGAATACATATTGCACTTCCTGTTTTGGGGTGTACATGAAAATTTCATTTGTAACTTTATTTTTGTAAAAGTATACGACAAGCCTTTCCAGATCTTTGCTATGGTTTATACCATCAGGTACTGTATGATGAAAGCTATTTATGCAAATGCATTTGTTAGTACCAAGTTCTCCAGCTTCTTTTACAAGACTGGTGGAAAGTTGAGGATAATTTTCGGCCCTGCAACAATGTTCAAATAAACATTGAGATTTGTTTTATGTTAATAGTAAAAATATCAGAAATTATTAAGGTTATAAATTACGTAAGACAAAAAATTATATGAAATGACATACATTGAATACTTTTTATACATAAAAAAGTAATCTCACCTCACAAATTTAGTAAGAAAGGATAAAAACAAGATGAGCAGCATCTGAAAATGGATACAAATTTTATTATTTGTTTTTAAAACCCAGTTAATTTGGATATACTAGTATTTATTGGTGTTTAAATTGGCTGTTTATCTTAACATTAGGGCTGTGTGTAGTGTTTGTAGCTACTAACACTGTCTAGAATGGATTTTTAAGACATAAAAGTACCTAAGGGATACCATCAAAGATATGGTTACATGAAAACGTTTCTATAATAGATTTATAACTTGAGTAGACATACTAAATTCCATTGACTGAGTTTGGAAAAAATTCAGTCAACAAAAATGCCAAACTAAACCAAGAAAGTTTGCATACCGAGGCATAGTATTCTAAAACATTAGAATTGAAAAGGAAATTAAATCTTTGGGTTTGCGTTTTAAACACGAGCTATCATTTTTTGTCACAATATGAAGGAAATACAATCGATTGGTAATTCGAGTTGATATAGTATATCAGTACAAAATGTTTTGGAAAAGATATTGCCATTTCAATAATTTCTAGCATCGACACCTTGGTGTCTTTTGATCTCCATGTGAATTTGGCTTGATAGGTGCATATCTTTGTTGTATTCTTACTCTTTTTCTACTGACTGTAATGAAGTACTTTTTAAATTTATGAACATAGTTCTATTATTAATATAAAAGTCCCGTTCTCAAAATCTATCCACTTCAAAATATACTAATATACATACAGAGTCAATGGAATTTAGAATATCTACTCAAGTTATGATTCTATCATAGAAACGTTTTCATGTAACTATATCGTTTATGGTATCCCTTAGGTACTGTTCTGTCTAAAAAAGCCACTATAGACTGCGTTAATAGCCACAAACACCACACACAGCGCTAATGTAAGGGGGCCATCCATAAATTACGTCACACGTTAGAAGGGGGGGGGGGGTCGACGAATTGTGACATTAGAACAATATTTAGTAGAATTTGTATTTATAAACTTTTAAAAATATGGACTCACCATTTAGTTTTTCTTAAAGCTACTCGAACCACAAGCCATCTCAAGCCGTGTGAGTATATTAGAAATATTTTTCACATTTATACGTATAAAACTCGTAAATAATGTAATTAGGTGTAATTGTTTAATTTGTCTCGAGAACCAATTTACTGTAACCAACGCAATTATGTTTTATTAACGAAACGAAATTATATATTATTATATCATGAAATTCCTGATAAACATAAAAGTGCCTCAGATCACAAATTACAACAATTTTTGTTATATAATAATTATTCCCATACTTTCAACAGCATTTAATATTTTATTCACGCTTTATAAAATATTATCTAAAATCATAATTATGACTTTTTTACCAATTGAATTTGTGCAAAACAAGCAATTTCTCTAAATTGTTATCCGCTTTATATTGAATCTATCTAATAAGGTTTCTTTGTTTGGGTGTTTGTCGATAAATCACGCCGAAACTACTGAACGGATTTTGATGAAATTTGGTGTACATATAGGGTATTAGCTGACTTAGATAATAGGATACTTTTATCCCACTTAACATTTCCCTAGGGTTTACATTTCCCATGCGGGCGAAGGCGCTGGCGAAAGCTAGTATGTATATAAATATCAATAATGGGAGTAGAAAACCTAATAACCCCATAGTAGACCGATTTTATTAATAATAAAAATAAAAGACTATACACTCAAATGTTTGTCGAAAAATTTATCTATATAATAAGTTTTACTATTGATGAAATAGAACAATGAAAAAAGTTTGTTCTGTGATAGGATACAATAGTTGACATTATTTTATTTTATAAATAAATAGTCCATTAATATATGAGAAATAATGCAGAAGTAACAGCATGCCTGCGATTAATAGTTTCGGAGATACGGTGCTTTATTTGTGGAAGTTTCTGCTGGTCGGCCGAAAACGCTCCCTACAAATTCAAAGCACTAAGTGACGTCATACGGTGCTACAGTAGCGAAAAAAGTATGGGCGTCTTGGCAATATTTGTTATATCCTCGTTATTTGTGGGTTTATGTTGATAGCTGTTATAATGAATGTTGTTACGTTTTATGTAACTAATTTAATGCAATATATGTTTTAGCAAATTTTTGTTGTGTATTTCCTACTTGTTTCAAGTTTTCTAAGTGTAATATTTTCCAAATAAGTGTCCTAAAATTTATTTTGTTATATATTTATAAGCATACTAGCTTTCGCCAGCGGCTTCGCCCGCGTGGACCCTAGGGAAATGTTAAGTGGGATAAAACGTTCATCAAAATCCGTTCAGTAGTTTCGGTGTGATTGACCGACAAACATCCAAACATCCAAACAAAGAAACTTTCACATTTATAATATTAATAGGATTACCGCGTCAGCATTTACATATTCATTCACATTTTCTACACATCAACATTGCAATCAAGGCATTGTCGCGAGCATCAAGTATCAAGAGTTTCGTTCGCTAATTAATTAATATTAAGATCAACAAAGATTCTTATTTATCTATTTAATCAGTTAGTTTGTGGATCAAGCAAAGTACGCGACCAGTGATGATGGTTCATATTTTCCGAACATATAACAGAAATCTGTTTTCACTTGTAGGAGACAAGCCTAATACAATATTAACTTATAAACAAAACCTCTTCCGTTGATAAAAAACAAAAAGTTACTAAAAAACAACTAGCTTTATGTCACACTTGACAAATTACATGTATTCACGAGGCCATGTAAAAATTATGCAATAAAAAATGTCCGCAATGAAAATCCATCAAACCCTCTCCAACTTCGGTGTGCGGAAAGTGGGAATCACACTGTCTCAAGGACATTATCAGGCCAATTACAATAGCCATTCCTCTAATAGAGGAAATATAGATGTCCATAGAGTATTCAGGAGGAGTTACACTTTGCCACCAGCGGGATCTGGTGCAGGTAGAGGGGGAGGCGCAGGAGGTTCTGTCAGAGAATCTGGTGGGGCTTTAGGCCAATACGGTGCCGCCCACGAAGAAGAATACTTCTTTAACAAGCGTAAAGAACAACTGGAGAAACTCAAATCGAAGATGAAGAAAGAGGATAAATCACCAGATATAAAACGCAAAGAAGACAAATAGCCCCCGGAATATTAGTCTTCCAAATGGTTACTATTAACGATTCGAAGAAAATTAATAATTAATCTTTAATCAAAATATTTTGGTAGGTATATCGTCCCTCATATTTGCTGTTAATGAACTATACATAAATCACTGGAGTACTATAATGTGTTTTATTTATTAACACGTGTTTATTATAATATTTTATATCTTTGGTGTGAAATGTAGTGGCCAAAAATCCGCCGGTTTCGAGGTCTTGTTCTGAAGTCTTGAGTTTGAATCCTTGTCCGGGCAATGTAGAAAATGTTTTTTCTGTACTGTCTCAGATCGGAGCTGTGGTACTAATTTTTTTTTATCAAATTTCCATACAAATGGCTCCTACTGGATATAATGTATTATAAAACTTTATTTGAATAAGCATGGGCTAAATCATTAAATCTCTAACGATAACGTTTGGTAAATCCGATACGCTTACAATGGATTATGCCTCTGGAAAAGATAAGAATTCACCTTCAACCATAAATTTACCATATAATAAAAGACCTAAGATATTTATATAATTCTTTTCTTTATTTTAACCTAAACTATGCTAATTAAACTGATTACTAAAATAAACTGCTAATTAAAATAAACTTCTTGGTGTTAAACATCATCAGATAAACCTTTATGTCAATGGGATACACATAGAGATAAATATAGACGGAAGTAGCGATAAATGCGATAAAATGAAAAAGGTGACAAACCACAGATCGAAACCATGCCTATGATCAAAACACTCAGATAAGTTATTATAAGGGCCAGTTTTTTGATCCGTGGTTAACTCAACTATTTGTTAAAATCTTTGACAAATGGTTAAATATCAGAAAAATATGTTTTTTGATTAATAGTTAGCCTAACCAATTGTCAGAATTACAACCATTTGTCAAAAAATTTAACCATCACTGGAAGCTAGGTTAAGTAAATGACCAATTGTTAAAAGAACAGATGTACAACTGCGTTGTATTTACTTGGTCCCTTGTTATTGTTTTTTACGTTGTTTTTATAACCTACATGATTTCATAGCGAATTTGTACATTAGCTATTTTTGAGATTTCGTTTTATTATGCAATTTCATAGGAAAATATTAATTGTCATTTTTTGGATATAGGGTTATTGAAAATAAGTTATATTTTTGTCTTGATCATCCTTAGTATCTATATTTGTACTATATAGAAAGAATTTTCTTGTTTCCACGGGCAGATGCCAAATTATTCAATTATTAAAAATCTTATAAATTCCACGAATAGACAATACAAAAGGTAAATATGCCTTCAGTAAATAAAATACATAGTCCTTGATTTATTTTCCAACGTTACAATCCCACCTTGGATACTAGATACTATATTCTTTTCACGTATTTCTCTATAGGATAAATAAAAAACAAATATATGCTTTTTATAAAAAGTTAAGTTTAAAATAACTGGAAAAACATATCTTTGTTGCTTTCTAACATCATTAAAGAATTGCCTTATACTTCCTGAAAAATAACACATAGTGCACACAACAGAACAACCATAAACATCCACACTCTTTGATAATCTATAGATTTCTTTCGTCTATTTGATATTTAGAACAAAATCCTAATGTCAAAAATGGTATATAGTTCGCTCCGTTCATTCAAACCGTTAGTGTTGTCACCCAGAAAAAAATTACCCATGTCAATGTATAGCGAAAAAACGACTCATTGTGCTGGCAACAAATTGGCCAGTGGTTAAATTTGACTATGGTTAAATTTGGCATCAAAAAACGAAATAGCGAGTTAACAACTTGTTATTGTTTTAACTATAGTCAAGTTAACAAATGGTGAAATGACATTTGACTACGGATCAAAAAACTGGCCCTAAATGAAGAAGATGAAGTACTTAGATCATAGACGTTGACCATAAAACAATATTTATCGCAGTAACCATAGACAAAAAGTTTATTTGACACATTCAGTAAAAGAGCATGAATTAGACTGATTAATCTCATTTTACTAATTGAACTTTAAAAATCTGACCAATATTTGCAATGTTTGATTCAAGTTACTAATGCCTGAAACAAATTTAAGAATGTGGGTAACTATCCTTAATTTACATAAGCACCCAACTGTAAAATAACCGCAATTTTCGATGTAAAACTTTTGAAACCAATAATGCTGCCTTGGAGAAGTCAAATGTCCATTATTTCCAGAGGAAAATATGCTGCACGTGCTGTACAGAAAAGAAAATATACTGATAAAACTGATAAACCCTCTGAGCCTGCTAAAGAGGAACAAATGACCATTAAAATGCCCGGTTTCGTCCATCCTGAGAATATTAAAGAAGAAGGTTACTTTACACAAAAGGCTAAAAAGCAATTAGAAGAGATGAAAAGAAAAGTAGAATCTCCGCTAGTGGAAACCCCAGATAAGAAAATTTAAAAGAAAGCAAAGCTCCTACATAGTTTCTGAAAAATACAGATGGTTAGATTTTAGAAACTGATGATTTTCCTGTAAAACAAATAATTTTTGACATCATCTTTGTACTTTAATATATTGGATTTGATGAATAATACTAATTCTGTATATATTTTAATGTGTCTTTATTATAAAGAAACTAAATTGTCTTTTTACAAAAGTATCGCTCAGCTCCATCATCAGACTGACTGGAATGGTTATCATGTGACCAGTGAGTTATAGAAAGAGGAGTTTAAATTGCTCAGATTCCAAGTTAAGCAAAGTGAGCATTCGTATTCTAGAGTATTTCTAACAACGAGGGTATTATAGGAAAAGGTGATTTTCAGTAAGGATCTCCGACTGAGAATTAAATCCGGGACCTCAGAAACGGCGGCACCTTAAAACCGTCGACTTTATTACCTCGTACCTAAGATATATTTCTTATCGGTTTCACGCAGCCAATCATTCTGACATTATTTATTTTCTCTTTTCATATTACATTCTTAGTACAACAACTCAGGGACCAGAATAAGTTTTCAGTTTTCTATTATTATATATTTTTATAGATTTTGAACTAGGGGTTGAACATAAATAAAGTTATATATATATTAGGCAAACATATCTGTTAATATCTAAATTATCTATAAAAAACCTGATGTAACAGATCAGAAAGTTTTTCAAATGTTTTCCACAATTTTTTAATTTTAAAAACAATTAACTTTATAGGTTGCCCCTTATCTTGTTTTCCTCTTTTAGGCTCAATAGTTTTATATACTGATAATAAAAACAAGAAATGATGGGATCGAAACTATTTGACTAATTTTAAAAATTCTATTCCCGGGGACTAATATGCGAATGACATAGGCTATAGGTTTTATATTCAATATTCACCTTTTACCTCTATCGTTCTTCGTTTTCGAGAAAACTGTCACTAAGGCTTTAACACCCTAAGAGATAAGTAGAGACTAGAAAAATCAGAACAAGAAATTAAAGTTAGAAAATTAATCATATAACGAAGGGAAAAAGTGAACGAGACATGCGAGTGCTACTAAAACTAACTAACATGCGAGTGCTACTAAACTTAATCAAATAAATAAAGTTATCAAACGAATCTTTCTCTTTTCTTTTCGTTTGAAAAGAAACAAATGTACCTCATAAATTCACCATTTTCTTAAACAAACTCGATGTATCGACTACGGGAATGTTCGTGTCTTCAGTAACGTAATATGTCGAAAAATCGATAGCCCCAGCTGTGACAGACAGTCACACTAATATCCCCTTTATTCTGGATCCTAAGCAAGAAATTTAACTATAATAATATACGATAAAATTCTTGGTCCTAAGCGAGAAAAGTTTATCACAAATTGATTTTTACTTACGAACTCTTTTCAACCTGTTAAACTTAAAAAACAATTCTACTGTCAATTTTTTGTGACAGCCGATGGTCAAATTTCAGCGTCAAAAATTAAATGTGTAATTAGTTGGTTAAGAAGAAGATTATATGATCCAAAATTACAATGGTGTTTACTTCTTTTTCTAGGAATTTGGCGAGAATTTCCTTAATCAACTGTCTTAGTATTCCATTCCATTATATCCGCCAGCCATTTTTCTATAGAGGCTATTTGTCTCACTGTAACGAATCAATAGACGACATACCTTTGAAGAAGAGAAATGACTTACTGACATATCAATTCTGCAGTTCCCTTTATAATCAGCGTCATAAAAGGTACATTGTCCAAGATTTTACAAATTTAATGTTAGAATAGTATGGCAACACAAATTATAATATTAAGTTGGTAGTGGTACTTTTAAGTTTTTTATGTTACGGTTGGCTTGACTGTCCCGATATATATATTCTCTTCCTCATGTAACGTGCAAGAAAACCGATTAGCTACTTAAATAAAAACAACGTTAAAACAAAAACAGTTTTCATTTCATTAGTTTGTACAGGTTATGGGCCCAGAAGCGCATACCTGTTAGTAAAATAAAGTAAAGTAGAATCAGTGATAACATCGAGCGTTATTTTTTATATCGGCGAAAAGTGAGGGTAGGTCTGAACGCGCCAATAAAATTTTCGTCGAGAAGGAATTACTTGCTCTTGATAAATAGCAAGGAAGGGCAGCGCGATGGAAGCAAATCCAATAAATATCACGAATAATGTTATGAAACTGGAAGGAGCTCGGAACTGGAATATATGGAAATTCCAAATGACCGTACTTTTGAGGGGTCAGGGTTGGCTGGATATTGTAGAAGGACGGACTGTGAAACCTGAGGATGCTACTGATCGAAATGCTTGGGAGTCGAAGGACGCGAAAGCTCAAACACTTCTGGTGACAAGGATGTCTGAAGATGTTATGTTACATCTTGTCACTTGTACAACTTCGTCTGAAATGTGGAAGAAGCTTCTCAGTGTATACGAGCAGAAATCTGAGACAAGTATTCATATTATCCAACAGCGATTTTTCCAGTATAAATATGAAAAAGGAATTGAAATGTCTGTATTTTTGTCTAAGATACATGAAATACAAAATCAGCTGAAACAGTTGGGCGAGGAAGTCTCAGATAG